GAGAATCACAGACAGACGGGGAGGGGAACGGGCACACACAGACACTGGGAGAGAGACCCTACTGGGGCGCTGGGCCTGGCATTGAGAGAGAGACGCAGAATCGTTAGGGGGAGAAGATCGGGAAGCGCGAACGGGGGGGCTGAGACGGGGGACGGGCGGGGGAGTGGGCTGGGGAAAGCCCGAGGGAGGAGGAGAAGGAGGGAGGAACTTCCCAAAGTTGCAAAACATGGCTACCTTGCCTGCGGAGCCGAGCGCGGGGCCGGCGGCTGGGGGGGAGGCGGTGGCGGCGGCGGCGACCGAAGAGGAGGAGGAGGAAGCGCGCCAGCTCCTGCAGACTTTGCAGGCGGCCGAGGGTGAGGCGGCGGCGGCGGCCGGGGCCGGGGCGGGCGAAGCGGCGGCGGGAGCGGAGGGCCCGGTGTCCCCGGGCGTCCCCGGGTCGCCCCTCGAGGCCGCTGCCGAGCCGCCCACGGGCCTCCGCTTCTCGCCCGAGCAGGTGGCGTGCGTCTGTGAGGCGCTGCTCCAGGCGGGCCACGCCGGCCGCTTGAGCCGCTTCCTGGGCGCACTGCCCCCGGCCGAGCGCCTACGTGGCAGCGACCCTGTGCTGCGCGCTCGGGCCTTGGTGGCCTTCCAGCGGGGCGAGTACGCCGAGCTCTACCGGCTGCTCGAGAGCCGCCCGTTCCCCGCCGCCCACCACGCCTTCCTGCAGGACCTCTACCTGCGCGCGCGCTACCACGAGGCCGAGCGGGCCCGCGGCCGCGCGCTGGGCGCAGTGGACAAGTACCGTCTGCGCAAGAAGTTCCCGCTGCCCAAGACCATCTGGGACGGAGAGGAGACCGTCTACTGCTTCAAGGAGCGCTCCCGCGCCGCGCTCAAGGCCTGCTATCGCGGCAACCGCTACCCCACGCCGGACGAGAAGCGCCGCCTGGCCACGCTCACAGGCCTCTCGCTCACGCAGGTCAGCAACTGGTTCAAGAACCGGCGGCAGCGCGACCGGACCGGGGGCGGTGGCGGCGCACCCTGCAAGAGGTGAGGGGACCCAGGCAGCGCAGGCCCCGCTTTCCCGGGAACGTGCTACCCACCAGCCCCCCTGTCCCGCATGCCCGCTGCTGGAGCCAGCGCGAACTCTTCAGATGCCTCCCGCTCACACTCTGTGGCGCTCAGCGAGCGCGGGCAATAGTATGGATGCAACGGGCACACGCCCCGGGCCCTCTTCCCGACAGCGCTGCTCCTCTCACGGAGGCTGGGAGATCTCTTCCCTCTGCTTCACTCAGGGCTCCATCCCAGATCCCATCCGTGTGGGTGGCTCGACTGCAGTAGGGGGGCAGAGAGAAAAAGGGACCACGGGGAAAGGGAGAGGGGCCTTTGTCCACCCCATCCGGCGTCAGGGCTTCTTTCTGTCCGTTGCGCCGCCGAGCCCTTCCCGGACTGTGGCTCTTTCTCACACCCCCCTTCCTGCCCCCTCCCTCGGGGCCCAAACAGCGTGGTCCGTAGTCTGTCTTTGTTGTGAAACGTGAACCTTCCCCAGCTCCGGTTTCCCTGTAACCCAAGCCCTTCCCCTCCCACCCTGCACGCCGGCCTCTCACTCCCTTCTCTGACGCCCTGGGAGGAGGGCACCGGGAGCTGAGCAGGGCTGCCTCCTCGATCTTCAAAGCCACTGGGCTGCTTTCAGCCTGACCCAGGAGGCTCAGGGGGACCTGGATACCCAGCTTCTGGGACACAGAGCGGAGGGCCTCCGCCTTCCCGATTTGGACAGCTTTAGCTTTTATGCAGGGGTGTCAGTGCAGGGCTTGCAGAGGATCTGTCCCTGGGGTCCTAAGGTGGGAAGGCTTCTGTAACTGTGCAGGAACCTGACTGGCCCGTGGGGGAACACAGCATTCACTGCCACAACTGACAATTCTCTCTCTGGACAGTGAGTCTGATGGGAACCCCACTACTGAGGATGAGTCCAGCCGCAGTCCTGAGGACCTGGAGAGGGGGGTGGCTCCAGTGGCCACCGAGGCCCCGGCCCAGGGCTCCATATTCCTGGCTGGGGCCGCCCCTCCTGCACCATGCCCTGCCTCTTCCTCCATCCTGGTGAACGGGAGCTTCCTGGCTGCCAGCAGCTCACCAGCGGTGCTCCTCAATGGGAGCCCCGTCATCATCAACAGCCTGGCCCTGGGTGAAGCCTCCAGCCTGGGCCCCCTGCTGCTCACAGGGGGTGGGGGCGCCCCACCACCACAGCCCAGTCCTCCGGGCCCCAGCGAGGGCAAGACCTCCTTGGTCCTGGACCCTCAGACCGGGGAGGTTCGACTGGAGGAGGCTCAGCCTGAGGCCCCTGAAACCAAGGGGACCCAGGTGGCTGCTTTAGGGCCACCTGGAGAGGAGGTGCCTGGGCCTCTGCCCCAAGTGGTGCCTGGCCCCCCGCCAGCTGCCACCTTCCCTCTGCCCCCAGGACCAGTGCCTTCTGTGGCTGCTCCACAAGTGGTGCCGCTTTCCCCACCCCCTGGGTACCCTGCAGGCCTGGGCCCCACCTCCCCACTGTTGAACCTGCCCCAGGTGGTGCCCACCTCACAGGTGGTAACCCTGCCACAGGCCGTGGGGCCACTTCAGCTGTTGGCAGCTGGGCCAGGCAGCCCAGTGAAGGTGGCAGCTGCAGCGGGCCCTGCTAACGTGCACCTGATAAACTCCGGGGTGGGCGTGACTGCCCTGCAGCTGCCTTCGGCCACTGCCCCAGGTACCCGCTTCTGCCTCTCTCTGGCCTGGGTGAGGGGTGGTTTTCTCAGGCATGGAGGGTGCTGTCGGTGAGCTTGGGAGTTGGGGGGGGATAGCTCATCCCTGGGATGTCCCAGAACCCCCCTGTGCCAGGTAGTGCGGAGGCTCAAGCCACCCAGACCTGGTCTGGTTCTGAAGGGGCTCGGTTTGCCTCCGGCTGATCTCCTTTCCCGCCCTCCAGCAGCATCATCGCCACCTCTGCTCCCGGCCAGCTGCCCCCTCTAACCCTGTGCCTCGCGTCTCCTCTCCCCACAGGAAACTTCCTCCTGGCCAACCCTGTGTCTGGCAGCCCCATTGTGACAGGTGTGGCCGTGCAGCAGGGCAAGATCATCCTCACGGCCACCTTCCCCACCAGCATGCTGGTTTCCCAGGTTCTGCCGCCTGCCCCCAGCCTGGCCCTGCCCCTGAAGCCAGACGCAGCCATCTCAGTGCCTGAAGGAGCCCTCCCTGTGGCCCCCAGCCCCGCTCTCCCAGAGGCCCACGCTCTAGGCACGCTTTCTTCGCAGCAGCTGCCACAGCCACCACCTGCCCCTGCCGCCACCATTGCTGCCAGCCTGCCCTTCTCCCCAGACTCCTCCTGCCTCCTGGCCGGCTTCCCAGCGCCCCCACCGGAGGGCCTCATGCTGTCACCCGCAGCCGTGCCCATCTGGCCATCGGGACTGGAACTGAGCACAGGCACCGAGGGGCTGCTAGAAGCAGAGAAGGGGCTGGGGACGCAGGCCCCCCACACTGTACTAAGGCTCCCAGACCCTGACCCTGAGGGGCTGCTCCTGGGGGCCACGGCAGGGGGTGAGGTTGAGGAGGGGCTGGAAGCTGAGACCAAGGTCCTGACCCAGCTACAGTCTGTGCCTGTGGAAGAGCCCTTGGAACTGTGACCCTGCCAGGCCTCGTCGCCTCCCCTGACAGTGGTGCTCGAGATCCAGGACAACCAGGAGTAGGGAACCTTTCAGAAACAGCCGTTGATCTGAAGATTCCACATACACACTACACCCCAACCCCAGCTGCTTAACCTCTCCGAGCTCAGGATGTGCTGGGCAGGGGTCCACCCCTGTCCGGGGCACAGTCCCTGGGGATGGGAAGCCTCTGTTACAGCCCTCTCCCTGCTCTGCCCCCATGCATGTGGGGAGCTCCGGGGGTCCTGACTCAGGAGCTCTGCCCCCCGGACCTGGTACGAGCTGTGAGCTGAAAACCTTGCCACATGGCTGGATTTCCAAATCCCTTGAGCCCTCTCCCTATCGCTCCCTAAAACACTATTAATAGCGCCACTGACATCTAGAGTTCTCAGAACTGCTTAGAATCCAAGGGTGGAGGACGGGGCAGGCGGTCCTGTGCCCAGGGACTGACAGAGCCACCCCCACCCCTGCCGAAACACAATGCAGATGTGGGGAGGCCTGGGCGAGGGTCCCCCTTTGCTCCCCCTGGACTACAGCCCTCCTCATCACGTCCAGCCCCAGACCAAAGATGCCCTCCCCCGTGGGACAACCTCAACCCCTGTGTCTAGTTTGTATCCTAAATCTTTATTTTTCTAGGACATGTTAAACCTCCATTTCAATTAAAATAAAGTTAACAGACAACTAAAACCTCCAGGAGTGTGGGTTATTTTCCAAACAACTTGTCCAAATCAAAACAACCACACAAACCCCAATTTGAGATTCTGGCTTTCTGGTTGCTGCACCCTGAGCAGAACGGGAGTGGAAGTGAGGTTCGTGGTGGGCGCCTGCCGTTTCAAACTGCGGGCCCTGGGCCTCCAGGTGCAGGGTGGAAGGCGTGCCCGCAGGGCTGGGGGAGCAGGGGACCAGGGCAGCCTGCTTAGTCTCACTTGCTGGTAACAAGGGTTCCACTTTATTTTATTGGCAACAATAAATAATCTATAAATAGAACTGGAGGGAGGAGTAGGATAAAGTGAGAACGAACAGGGTTGAAACCATTTGATTCTGGGGTGGGCAAGGGCAGGTCGGGGGAGCCCCTTCTCCTTAACTTCACGTCCTTGCATTTCATTCCCAGCTTCCCTCTCAGGGAGAAAGGAGCTGTGAGGAGGGCAGAGTTCAGCTGCCCACGTACAAAGCAAACACACAAAGCATGGGGATCAAAAAAACCCTCCCCCTCCCCGTCGCGAGAGAACTGGCCGAGGGGACCTGCGCTAGCAGGGGTGAGGCCCAGGAGGGGCAACGTCTTCCCCGTGCGCTCCTGGTTTCAAACGAGCGGTAGGAGCTGCAAGGTGAGAGGAGAGGTGAGGTGGGGCCACCCTCTCAGGTGCGGTGAGAAGGCAGCTGAGCGGCGGGCTCTGAGGAGGAGCGGGCCCTGTCCGCCAGCAGCTGGTAGAAGGGCTTGGGTACCCCCCAGTCCTCGTCATCGCTGCTGGAGCTCTCCTTCTTCACGATCCGGTTGTGCTGGCGGCTGAATCTTCGAGCTTTGATGCTGCGGGGAGAGGGAAGGATGGGTGGCGTTTTTGCTCTGTCCCCAGTATAGCCAGGGCTTGAGCTGGGGATGGGGACCAGGGCTTTATTTGGTCCCACAGGGCAGCGCACCTCTGGGCCTACGAGTCCGGGTCTATACAGTGGGCCCCCACTGAGGGCTCTGCCGGAGCCCCCCACTCCTATTAAAAAACCCTGCACACAGAGGTGTGTTTCAGGGGCCAACTGAGAAACAGGCAGGTGGCGGCTTCGACCTTGGTGAAGAAGAGGATTTTGGGAAGGAGAGGAGAGGGCAGAGGGGGAGGAGGCCAAGCAGAAGGGAAGACCCGGTTCCTACTCTGAGAAACTCCAGTGGCAGAGAGGGCAAAAGAAACTTAGGGCAGTGGAGTTCAGATCCCAAATTAAACTAATTGCCCTTCTAAGCTCCAAAGTATAGCACCTCTCCACCTGTCACCCCCAAATATATCATAAAAGTTTGCAACACCCAAATATCCCACCCCAGTAAACCCCCAGCCTGTTTCCCATCGCAGGAAGGCCAAGGCTCTGAAAACCAGAGTGGGGCCCGAGAGGCAGGAGGCCTGGGCCCCCGTTCCGCGCCCCTGCGCTTCTCACCAGTATGGCTTCCGCTCCTGCTCTGTCATCTCCCGCCAGAGCTGGGCCAGCTCTTTGGTGGCAGCCGTGGATGCGGTTCCTGGACAGGCTCTGGGGCAGGAGGGAGGAGGTAAGGAGAGGCCTGCAGGGCAGCCTGGCTCGGGAAAAGGCCAGCCGTCTGGCCTGACCTTATGAGGCCCCCTTGCCCGCTCAGAGCCTCAGCTTTCCCCTGGAGCCCTCGGCTCTGTCCCACCTATGTCACATGATATCCTGAAAGGCCTCCATTACACACCCTGGAGCTGAGGCATCAAAGAAGGGGCTAGACCAAATGATTGTTGGGAAGGGGACACCTGTGTCCCCGGACCTGTAGGGGTCCTGTGTCTGCTGCTTCCAATAGTAGCCTCTGGATCTTCCTGTCAGGGCACTGGCCCTTCTCCTCTGTGGCCTGGGGGGTCTTCTACCCCATCCCCCCGCCTCAGGCTGGCAATGATGGTGCTGGGTTGGTCTCCTGATCTGCCAAGTCGGCTCCAAGAACTTTTTCTGGAAACCTCAGAAATGAGGGGCTCCCTTCCCACAGGGTTGCTGGTGTGGGAGCCTGGACCTCGCGGGGTGACCTTGCCCTGACCGGGTCCCACCTGCCTGCGAATGCAGCCCACCTGGAAGGCAGCGGCACTGAGAGAGGGGCGAGGATCCCAGGCAGCGTCCTGCAAGCCCTCCGACCAACCGCATATGAACCCAATCTATCCCCTCCCTTTTTTCAGGTTACATAAGCCAACTAATTCCCTTTTTTTCTTAAGTCTTAGGTGGGTTCCAACTGACAGGCCCTGACCAATGCCACGGGGCCGGGTGAGACCTGGGGGAGAGTGCGGCTGAGGAAGGGGCCACTGTGTCTGACAGCAGTGGGGCAACATGCCCGGGGGGACGGGCAGCCAAGGAGGACCCCCACCCACCGGATGTACTGCTTCCGGTTCATCCTGCAGAACATGATAAAGCCATTGACACATTTTTTCTTCATCTGAGTGGAGCGGGGGGCTTTCTTGTTCTTGGGCTTCACAGGGCCCCTGCCGGCCCGGCCCTTCCTGGCCTTCCTCCTGGCCGAGGGCCAGGTCTCAACCTGCCGGGCGGGGGTCCACGTGTAGTCTCCGTCCTCATCGCTCACAGACTTTGGGCCCTCGGGGTCAGCCAGAGTGTCCTGGGTGGGGGGCAGAGAGATGAGAGCAGGCAGGAGGGGCGGGACCGACCTCAGTGGCTGTGCCGTCTCACCTGCTGCATCCACACCACCTCTGGGTCCGTGTCGGTGACCGAGTCCTCAGAGTCAGAGCTGTTCTCACTCAGCGAGGCGTGATCCAGCGACCCCGAGGACTGGCACGGGCTGCAGGAGTCAGGAAGGTCCTTGCACGCCTCGCAGAGTGAGTCCTGGGAGGTGAAAAAGAAAGATGGACAGGACATGAGCCGAGAGAATGGTGCTCTTCTTGCCCCAACTCATACTTTCCTGGGAAATGAGCATGAGAAACAGCTCGGGTTCAAGACAACCTCCTCCAAACACCCTTTGGACATTCCAACCAATGTTCCCAACTTCCCACAGGGATCAGAAAGGGGCTCTCTCTGACTCAGGTCTTCTGCCTCCTATTCTGGGGCAATATCTCGTAATCCCCTGTTTCCCTTGTGTGGTAGCGATGATGCCCTGGGCAAGTCTTGACCTCTCTAAGCGTCCGTTTCATCTACAGCCTGCTGTTCACATGTCTACAGGCCGAGCGGCACCTAGCACCACGCCTGGCTCCACTAAGGGCTCCACTAAGGGTATCTATGTTTCTGTCTTTATTTTTATTGTTGACACTATTGCAGATGTCCCCATTATCCCTACTTTGGCCCCCCTTCCCCCCAGGCCCCACTCCCCCTTTCCTCAAGGGTATCTGTGTTCGTTTCTACAGCCCCTTCAACTACTCATTGAGGCAGCACCCCCCACCCCCTGCCATACACACACACTGGAGGAAGAACAGTTTGGGGACCAGGGCTGGGCTGCCCCTCTGTCCAATGGACGGTGAGCTCCTGGAGCAGACAGAGGCTACGCAGGTGAGTCCAGGGGCCTGGGAGGCAACTCTTTCCAACTGCAGATTCCTAGGGTTGCTCTGCTACTTTCTGTCAAAGGAGACCCTGTCTCTTAGGGCAGTGGTAAAACTATGTGAGGTCTCTTATAGGCACCTGGCAGCTTTTTAGCTTTCATCCTTTGTGTCTAGTTCACTGCAAGTGCCCAGCACAGAGTGAGCGTCTGGTGGCCAGCAGTGAGCATTCAAAGGATGAGCACATGAGCCTCTGGAAAAGTCGAGGGGATGGCTGAGTGAATCAAGCAGGTGAGCGATAAGTGGGGAAAGCGGGACGCCCGTGTCCGTGGACGGGTGGGTGGAGAGACGCCTACCTCCCGCGGTGGAGCCTCCAGCATGCAGGCAGACGGCGAAGACACCGGATCTAAGACAATTTCTTCAAAGAGAGCTGTCAGGGAGGGAGGCCAGAGGGTTTTTCTTGAAACCTCAGAAACGAGGGACTGTGCTCACACTGGGACGGAAATGCCGCCCTCACAGCACCAGGCCTCTGTGCCCCCAGCCTCCAGCCAGAGTACCACTCCCGGGGTTTCCAGATCTCCCGCCCCATGTCCAAATCTAGCTCACCCTCAGGCCAGCTCCCCTGGGCCACCTCCAACCTGGGCAGAGTGAGTGGGCCCCAACCTGCTGCAGGCTCCTGGAGCCTCCCCCTCCCCACGCTGGCCTGGGGCTGCTCCCCCCAGACTGCGGGCTCTTTGCGGCAGGGCCCGGATGGGATTCAGCCCTGGGTGCCCCGCTCTGCCCAGCACAGGGCTGCGCACTCGGCGGGCATCACCACGTGTTTTCTGTGTGAACTGGGCACCAGGTCCCGCCCTGTGTGCTCACCTTGGGTCAGGAACAGGCTGCTATCCTCCAAGATCTCTCTCGGCAGCGCTTTCCCCGGGGAGCTGAAGAGGGAAGGGCTGAGGCCTAGGATCTCGCTCAGGTGGCCCATCATACCCCCATTGTCAATCTGAGGGGGCTCCAAAGCCAGTGGGCTCCCTGAAAAGAAAACATGAGGTTTGAGGGTGTGGTCACAGATTGCCCTCTCCCCAAACTGGCTTTTGGGAGATGATGCCAGACACTGGTGAAAGAGGACTGTCAACCGCCCATTTCGAGTGCTTGGTAGAGGCCACTGAGAGGCACAATGTCTCACAGTATGTCAGGAATGGCAAAAAAAATACATCAGTATCATACTGTGACAGATCCACTAGACTGACTGTAGGTACCTGGAGCTCTGTGTTAAGAACAATTCTGGCCCTAGCTCATGTAGTTCAGTGGCTAGAGCGCAGGCCTGCAAACTGAAGGTTGCAGGTTCAATTCCCAGTCAGGGCACATGCCTGGGTTGCAGGAGAGGCATCCGATCCATATTTCTCTCCCTTGCTTTCTCCCTCCCTTCCCCTTTCTCTTGAAAAATTAATTAATTAAATCTTTAAAAATAAAATGATTCTGAGGTAGTGTCTGGGTGATGCTTGGTTAGCGATGTCTGCCACAGCAAGATGGCTAGTGCTTGTGTGTTTGCCATCCCTGTGCTTCTCAGACGTCCATCCCCTTTCCCACTCCCCCCTCCCACTGAAATCCTCAGAAGGAAGGTACGAAGAAGGCCCCACACCCGCTTACAAAGAAGAGAGACAGAGTTTCAGTCACCTTGGGGGAGGTCCTCTGGGGTCCAGACAGGAAGCCAAGGGTCAGCGTCTGGGGCCTCCTGGTCCTCCTCGTCGCTGGACTCGTAGTACACCAGCTTCTGCCTGCAAGAGGTGGGATTCAAGAGGCAGAGCCAGAGCCCGAGGCTGGGAATTGCTGGGACCCCGGGTGAGCTGTCTCCCCGGGGGGGCAAGGGGGTGACTCAGGGACGCCCACTGTGAAGCAAGACAGGGATTGTTCTGTGCTGGCTGCTGGGGGAGCGCAGGGGGCAGAAAGCGTATCAGTTTGAGGTGCGGCCCTCACAGAGCTTCAAGATTTGTGAGGAGGTGCTATAATCAGGCACTGACAACAGTTATGGTGGGTTCGGGGAGGCCAGAGATGTGCACAGGGCAGGAGGGAGGACAGCACTGAGCTAGGCCGGAAGGAGGGAGATTTTTCCGGGAAGAGGAGGGGAGCGGGCTTGCTGGGAAGAGGGATCGAGGGTGAAAAGCCCAGAAGGGGCAAGGGCAAGGTTCCTCCGGGTAGTGGCGAATATTTGGGGGTGTTAGGGCAAGATTTGTGGGTGAGGGGCCAGAGAGGGTGCTGGCAAGGTGAGATAAAGCCAGAGAAGTTCTCAAATGCCAATGGAGATATCTGGGCTCTGAGGGAGGGTTTTAAGCCACGCACTGACACGGCCAAGGTTTGTGTGACTAGTAAGGATGGCTTGGAAGGGTAAGACGGGAGGCAGGGAGACTGGCGAGGCGCTGTGGCCTGTCTCTCCTTCGGGCTTACGATACCGGCAGAAAGCTAGGCCCCCAGCAGTGCTCGCTTCACCGACACCCGCAGAGGATGTACATCAACCTCATTCCTTACTGCCCCTCAGCCACCCCAGAACAAACGCCAATCTCCCCCACTCAAAGCCCTTGGGGTTCCCTTACCTGGGATGGGACTGTGTTCTGTTGAAAAAATAGGTCCTCTCAGCCCCTTGCTGGGCCCCGAAGGCAGGGTAGGGCCCGTCGTCCTGGGCGCTGTTTTTGCAGGAGCAGCCTGAGGAGGCAATTCAGGGCCATCACTCCTGCGACTGGGACAAAGTCCGGACTCACAGAGGCAGGATGAAGAGGTGCCAGGGTCCACCCCAGCCTCTCCCTCCCTGATCCTGGCCAACACCTCAAGCTTGGGGACCTCTGCGTGAGGCTCAGGGGCAACCCGAACCACCACTAGGTTTCTGGAATCCCACTCCCTCATCAGAAGCTGTAAGGAAGATAAATCCTGAAGTGTAATAATGATGATGAAGATGATAATAGCAAACAAGTACAAACATACTATTTAAGCATCTTACATTCTGCTCAGTACTCCTTTGTGATAGAGTACCATTATTATCCCCATTTTGCAGTTAAGTAAACCAAGGCATTGAGCTATTAACTTGCCCAAAGTCACGCAACTAGCAGGGCTGGGAAACCTTCCCTCCCCAGGTGGGTCAGGCACTTCCTCCGGGTCCCCAAGGCCTCCTGGGAAACCCCAAAAAGTCTGGATTACTCTGGACTCCTTCACGGGACTGTGACCAGCAGCCGGCGCGTGGCCTGGCAGAGAAGCAGGGCTCAGGGAGTTAGGGATGAATGAACAGATGGCGAGAAGACAGGACGACTCGAGGCCTTGTCTCCCAATTGACTGCTCTCTCGCCTGGCTCTCTGCTGAGTGAGCCATCACACCTTGTGAACCTGGTGCAGAGACAGGGAGTCCCTAGAGCGGTCGTCTGGCTGCATCAAGTGAAGTCTCATGAGGAGACCCTGCTCTTAATCCCAGTTCTGCCACCTGCGGCTCGCACATGAGGGCAGCACTGACCCTGCCCTGCCCTTACACCCACAGCAGACCCTAAAGGGTAAAGAAAACTGGGAAAGAGACCATGGCTGTGTGAAGCGAGAGACGGTGTCTCTCTTGTGCACCATTGAAGCCCCAGCTCCTAGGACTGTGGCCAGATGTTGCAGATGCCCAATACGAGGTGTATAAATGACTGGCTAAATTAACGGTAGAGAAAGACCAACTGGAGGTGTCTCAGGGGACCCTGTTCTTAGCCATATTCAGCAGTGTCAGCCAGGATCTTCTTCTATGTCTGTCACCTTGAGGCAAGGACAATGCAGCCTTGGGGTGTGTGTAGGAGTCAGAGCATTTTGGAGGAGCAGTGGTCCCCTCCACGTTTCCTCCCTCCTGGTCTGCGGATGGGGCCCCCTGCTTCTTGGGCTTGTCCAGGGCCAGACAGCGACGAGGATTCTGGGCCCGGGTCTGGCGTTCTGGGACAACAGAGAGAGAGAGAGAGAGCATCAGATGGGGCTGGGGACTTGAGTGTCACCAGAAGAAGGCTCAGGTCGGGGACTTCTTTGGTCTGGGTCCAACCACCTGTTTCAAAGCTGTGACTGGCCTGGTCACTCACTGGGGCTTCCTGGGTGAGCCTGGATCCTAATTAGAGATCACCTAGTCCGACACTTTGCTCCCCCACCTACAGGTTAGAACCACCTTGCAAGCTCTGAAAGAACAACAATGCCCAGCTGGCGCCCCAGACCAAGGAAACCCGACGTTCTGGGTGTGAGACACAGGCGCAGGCATTTTTTAAAAACGTCCTGGACGACTGAGATGTACAGCCAGGGCTTGAAATCATTGATTAAGTCCAACTCCCATTTTAAAGATGTGGAAACTGAGGCCCACAAAAGGGAAGGGCATGTCCTGGCTGGTGTGGCTCAGTGGACTGAGCACCAACCTGAGAACCAAAGGGTCACCGGTTTGATTCCCAGTGTAGGGCACATGCTTGGGTTGCGGGCAAGATCCCCAATAAGGGGTATGGGAGAGGCAAACACACCCTGATGTTTCTCTCCTTCTCTTTCTCCCTCCCTTCCCTTCTGTCTAAAATAAATAAATAAAACATTTTTTTAAAGTATGCTCTTTTTTTTCCTATTCTTAAAAAAAAAAAAAGATTGATTGATTTATTTATTTTTAGAGAAGAGAAGGGCGTGAGAGAGGGAATCATCAATGCCTGGTTGCATCTCGTGCGCCCCCTGCTGGGGATGTGGCCTGCGACCCAGACATGCTCCCTACACTGGGAATCGAACCGGCAACCCTCTGCTTTGCAGGCCGGCTCTCAATCCACCGAGCCACACCAGCCAGGGCAATAAATAACATCTTTAAAAAAATAAATAAAAAGGGAAGGAGCACGTAAGGGAGTTATAGCAAGGCGGAGGCCAGACCTAGGACGCTGGTCTCCTGCACTTGGGTCTTTTTCTCCTGATGGCCTGGCCCAGGGATAGATTACTGGCCATAAAGACAATACATGCTGACAGCAGCTTCCCTTCGCTGGGCATGGACCATGTGCCTCTCTACTTAAGCATCTCTCGAGCGCTATGTTTTCAGGCTCCTAATCCTTAAGATCCTCCCTGTGGCAGGCACTACCACTGCCAGGTGAGGAAGAGGCTCAGAGGTCAGTGGCCACCCCAGGCCTTAGAGCTAATAAGACGAGGGGCCAGAAGTTGAACCCAGGCATGCCAGACTTTAAAGCCTCGTCAGGGGTTCAGGATTGCTGACTGGGCCTCCTTGGAGCATGACGGCCCTGGAGAAGGAGCCCCACTTCCATCTGACCCCCACTTCCTGTTCTGCCTCCACTGACAGCTTGTACCTGAGGCTCGTGTAAGCTTCTTCTTCCGAGGTTTCCGACAGGCTCCCCGAAGACAGGACTTACAAGAGTGTGGGGAGCCAGATGGGGTGAGGTGTCTCTGCCTCGCTGAGCCTGCAGTGGAGCTCCGACCCCGCCCTGCACAGGACCAAGGAGGAGACAGGTCAGATGCCCTCACCTTCACCCCGTCCCAAGTCCTCCCTTCCGGACAGCACCTCCCAGTGTTGGCAGTTGTGGGGGGACGGTCGGCCATTAATCCACAGGTTGACTTTACAAATGTGGAAACGGATGTTCCAAAAGGCAATCAAAATTGTATGAGGTTGCACAGTCAGGCGGCAGAAGTACAGGGCAAAAACTGGGGTTTACCCAGGGTCATCCCGGGCCTTTGCCAAGAGAGAAGACAGACTCAGCACTCCCCAAATTTGTCCCCATATTCCCCACCCTGAACCTATTCCTCTTCCTACCTTCTTCAGGATAGCGAGGGCTCCACCACCCATCCTGGGTCGCCCGGGGCTTCTTCCTCAGGCCTCTCAATCCTTCCTCATTAACATCTCCCAAATGCACCCACTTCTGTCCACACTCCGCTGCAGTGCCAGACTGGGCCTCATGGTCTCCTGACTGGGTCACCCCTAACAGTATCTTCACTGATCTCCCGGAGTTCAGTTTCTCTCTTAATAACCAGTCCTCCCCACCAGATGTTAGAGACCTCTTTCTTTAAAAAAAACAAACACACTGATGGCTTTCCCCTGGCTTAAAGTCCTTCAGTAATTCTCACCTTCATTTCCCACCTCAGCCAGGCACTCGAAGCCCTTCAGGATCTCGTCTCTGCCCCACCTCCTACCCTTCTGGCCTGCGTATTTTTTACACCAGTAGTGACAGCGCCCAGCACATATAGTACTGGGTGACTGGCATGTTCCAGGCTTTGTGTTACAATACTATCTATGTGTATTAACTCATGTAATCTTCATGACAAACCCAGGAGAGGAGTGATAGTTCTGTTCTGTTTTGTGGATGAGGAAGCTGAAGCACAGAGGGGTTAAGGTAAGGACATGTGCACCTGAGTCAGGATCTGACTCAAAAGCTATGCACAACATCTTGATTCTACACGGTCCCTCTAACCACGCCCCCTGCTTGCCTGTCCCCAGACATTCCACACATGTCTTCTCATGCCTGCACGCTCTTGTTCAGATTGTTTCTTCTACTTGGCAGGGCTCCCCCTTCTATTAGCCTCAAAGGCCCCGCTCCAAGACCCCTATCCCCACAGTCTTCCCAGACACCCTCCTCTGACTTTGTCTCCTCTGCGAGGCTGTGAGATCCAGGGGGGCCTGAAATGGTCTAAGAGCGCTGAGTCCGTCAAATGGACTTGTCACAGGCCCTGGGCAATGTTGGCTGAACTTACTTACCCCCAACTCCACCTTCCCCATTGGTGGTGTGGAATTTTAGCAAGGCCTTGGCCACATCGATGTTTCTCTGGAGGTACTGAATGTAGTGCAGGACATGCAGCAGAATCTCCTTCTGCCCACAAAAGAAAGACCAGGTTACACACAAAAGTGGAGTACAATGGGACAAGGAGAGGCTGCTGGAGACCAGGGGCGGAAAGGCTCCAGGGCCCTGTTCCCCACCCCAACAATTCCTCCATGGACGGACGTGTTCCTGTTTTGCTATTTAGTTCTCACTGCGGCCCAGCAAGGTAGAGGGTACAACTAAGGCAACTGAGGCTCAGAGTGTGATGGGACTTGCTAAGGTTACAGAGAGGAAGAGGCCGAGCTGAGCTCTAAACCCAGGTCTGCCTCCGTCCTGGTCCAGTTTTTTGGCACACAGCGTTCAGCTTCCCACCCCCGGCCCTTTGCACATGCTGTATCCTCCCTCTGCAGTCTTCCTCTTCTTCCCACACACTGCCTCACCTGGCATCTCCTCGGAGCTTCAGCTCAGTGTCCTCCCCTCCCAGAAGCTTTCCTTCCTTCCTGACCCCTCTCGTCCAGTCTGGGTCAGATGTACTTCCTAGGCACTGCTGTAACACCCTAAGCCCGATTCCACCAAGGCACTTGCCACACTGTTTTATAATTATGTGTTTAGATCACTGTTCTCTCCTGCTGACCTTGGGCTAGTTGAGGGCAGAGATTGTAGCTAATTGATTTCTGTGTCCCAAGCACACAGAATCAAGAGGTGCCTTAGCCAGTGACTGCTGCAATAGTAAATCTTCCCCACAGCACCAAGTGCGATTCCTCCCGCCCAGCCTGCAGCACCTGTCCAGCCACCAAATACTGACAGAGTTGGGAGCTACTATAGCTGAAAACGACTACTACCTACTAAGGGCCAGGTATGTAGGGGTGACCTAGATATACTTTTTTTAAAAGATATACTTCTGTTTGCCTTCATGGAACTTACAATCTAGTGAGGGCAGCAGGCCTTAATAAACTCATAAATCAAGCAAAATTATCGACTGTGTGATAAGTATTATGAACAAAAGAGTATAACAAGGGACTCTGCAATTACAGTTGGATGTCCAGAAAGACCCCTTGGAAGCATTTAAACTGAGACCTGAAGAATGAAAAGAGTTAGCCTGGTGAAGACATGAGGGAAGAACACCAAGAAGGACTTTTTTGGATCACAGTGGAACCCCTAGAATAGCAAGAAAACTGTTAGCAGTAATATTCCAAACCCCATATCAGGAAACATGTTCCTGCATGGGGACCTATGTGAAACTGTTCCATATAATATAATACAGACAGTCTCTGAAATCATTTAACCTGGCTCATGAAAGGCAGCTATGATCTAACTAAGGAGTACATGTGACACAGCCAAGAGGCTATTAGCTTAGAGGGACCTGGCTCCAGTCTGTCACTTACTGGCTGCGTACTGGGAGCAGGCTGTTCTACTTCTTTGAGCCTCGGTTTTCTCATCTGTGCAATGGGAATGAGATACTCATTCAGGCTCAGAGGATTATCATTAGGAGTAAATAAAGTAGTGGGTGTGAAATCACCCAGCACAGAGCCTGATACGTTAGTTGCGTGATACATGCGTAGTTGATAATAATGGGAATATCTTCATCGGGTTCTCAAGGGATTAACTTTTTATAACTAGACCATGGTTTTTTCCAGAGTGTTTTTTAAAAGATTTTATTTATTTATTTTTAGAGATAGGGGAAGGGAGGGAGAAAGAGAGGGAGAGAAACACGTGTGATCAGTTGCCTCTCTCACACCCTCAACTGGGGACCTGATTGGCAACCCAGGCATGTGCCGTGCCTGGGAATCAAACTGGCAATCTTTAGGTCCGCAGCCCAGTGTCGAATCTACTGATGCACACCAGCAAGGGTGTGATACTGTACTTTTAGTTTAATATCTCCAACACCAGGCTTGGCTCATGGTAGGCACTCACTAAACTGATGTCTTTGTAAACTATAAAATAATACAAAATGTTACCTATTATTTCTAGTATAGAGGTTTTATGCAGAAGGCAGCTGGGCCTCATCTCAGATTTCAGGGCAGAAGGTTCAGTAATTGAAACTTCAGAAAAGTTAGCTTGGGGGCTGCACCAAAGTTTCAAATACCAGAGGTCTTCAGAGGGTGAGACGTGCAAATCCTGCAACTTCCTCAACGGAGGGAGTTCATTCATTCAACACACATCTATTGAGCACTGAGTGACAGAGTGGCTGAGGGCCTGGGCCTTTGGAAAGAGACACATCTGACTCTGCCATAAGCTGGCTGTGTCTCTCTGGACAATATGACCCCTCTGGGCTTCAGTTTCCTCAAACCAAAAAATGATCATAAACATATGTATCTCAAAAACTTGTGGGGAGGATTAAATGAGAAAATGTAATAAAATGCTTGGCTCCTAGAACCCTCAGTCATTTGGGAGCAATTGTTATTATTATCTGCTCTGTGCTAGGCTCTGCAGACACTGGGGATAGAGGTTTATCCGTTATGGTCCTTCCATCTCAGAACTCTTCACCTAAGGGGGTCAGAGTAAGAAAACAATCACAGGAATATGCTGAAGGCTACGTTGGTCAGAGCGAGAGGAAGCTATGCCATCATATGGCACAGGGGACACTTAATCAGCCAGGATGGTAAGTCAGGATGCCACAGATCTAAGCTGCACCCCGTCTCAAACAGGGGAGAGGCCACACGTAACAGTGCCCATTAAGTTAATTGATCCAGCAGACCGAGCAGGTCCCGGAGCCCTGGTGAGTTGTGATGATGTACTTCACGCAAACTGGTCAATGGGGAGGTGGGGGACTGGTAGGAACTCAGGCTGCATGCGGAGCAGGGGGCCCAGGACTGAACTAAGGAAGGGTGAAGATGGGAAAGAAGAGGGGTCTTAAGACAGTGGAGAATCAACGGTAAAGAAAGTGGGTTGAAGCCTGGGGAGAATCCATGGGGAGATGTGGTCATCTGGGTCAGCAATAAAATTATGCCTGTCCCCTGACCAGAATGTCATTCCTCCAGAGCAGGGACTGTGTCTCAGACATCTCTGCCCTCCCTGCCAAGAGCTTGTGGCAGCACCTATGTACACAAAATACTCAAATGTTCAAGGACAGAGGACAAAATTCCTCAGATATTTTTGAACACTTTGGTGGTTTGTGTTATGCTTCTTCCCTAAAACATTCGTGTCCTAGTCCCCGGATCCTATGATTATGTTGCCTCATACGACATACGGGGTTCTGCAAATGTGATTGATGTTACTGAATAAGGGTCTTCAGATGGGGAGATTATTCTGGATTATCTGAGTGGGCCCAATGTAATCACAAGGGTTCCTTATAAGCGGAAGGTGGGACGGTCAAAGGCAGAGGAGGCAAAATGACGACAGAAGCAGAGAAAGAAGGCAAGATTAGAAAAAGTCACACTTCTGGCTTTGAAGGGGCCAGGAGTCAAGAGGCACCAGTGACCTCTAGGAGTTGGCAAAGGAAAAGGAAACGAATTCTCCCTGGAGCCTCCAAGAAGAACCAACTCTGCCCACACCCTGACTTTAGACCAGTGAGACTAATTTTGGACTTCTGATCTCCAGAACTGTAAGAGAATAAATTTGTGTTGTTTAAAACCACTAAATTTGTGGTTCATTTGTGACATTAGCAACAAGAAACTAATATAAGCACTTATGATTAAGAGATATTTAGGGGGGAGTATCAACATGACTGGGGGTTGATGGAATGTGGCAGGCAGGGAGAAGGTTAGGGTTAAGGTCTGGCAAATCTTTCCAAACACCTGCTCCTCCGAACCTCTCTGGAAGCAAGTGGCACATCCTAACTGGGATCAGTTCCTCCTGTGTTCAGATCTTCCTGACCAGATTCTGAGTTCCCAGAGGATGAGGACGAAGTCTTAAATTCCTCTGCTTCACCTCGTTACAATCATAAAAGCTCTGACATCCAACAATCTGTCCATAAACGGCTGATAAATGAATAAGTAAATGACTGAATGAGAGGAACGATAGCAAGAAAGCATCAAGCCAGGCCTCCAAGCCCTCCAAGTATCACGTTGTTAGTTGTTCCCTCACCGGGAGTGAGGGGTTAGCTCAGCACTATACAGGTTATTGAGTAGCCAGGGAGGATGCACAGAGAAGCTTTATCTGCTTCTACCTCGTGTTGATGATACCCACAGGTCACAAAACAGGGAGGGAACTGAAATTTATTCACCTGCCACGGCTATTATGTCATTTTGGCTTCACAATATCCCTGGGTAGGAGGAGTTATCTTTACTCATTTTACAGCTGAGAAACCTGAAGCTTGAGAGGCTGATATCTGGAGAACCTGCCCAGGATTCTGCAATTGTGGAGCTGGAGGGCTCGAACCCATGGCTGGTTGACTCCCAAAGCAATGACCTTTGCCTGGATCCTTGCCTATTTTCCCCTCCCAGTTCCCCCTGCCTCCTTTTCAAGAAAGAATGCTGCAGTCACGGACCCTTCCCATCTCAGTGCTGTGCCTGAAAGGCTCTGTCATGGTTTCTTAGGACATGGGAAGTTAACCTGCTTACTGATATTTTGAAACCTCCCTCCCAAATCTACCTCCTCTCTTTTGGTCCACATACCTTGGTGAGCTTCCTGCTACTGGTCTTCGGGGCCAGAGGTAGCAGCAATGCCAACTCATGGAGTTTGCTGGTGTGGTTTTTCCTTTGCTTCCTGTTTTGGGACAAGAACTGGTTTTGATTAGGACATCCAAGTGGAATTTGGCATCTCGCTCCCAATCCTCCTATCTCATTGTTCCCCATCTCAGGGACCCCATCCCCAGCATCCAAGACAAAGTCCCAGACATCATCTGGACATTATCCCTTATCCCCTTGTCCAATCAGTTACCACATCTTGCCCATTCCTCCCCTGGTCCCTTCTCTCCATCCCTACAACCCCTGCCTTAATCTATTTACTGGTATCCTCATAAGTGTCCCAGCTTCCCACCTGGCCTCTTCCAATCAAGACTCTACTAGAATCTTTCTGAAACACAAACCTGACCGGCTTTCTCATCTGTGCAATGGAAATGAGGATATTCATTCAGGCTCAGGGGATTATCAATAGTATTAAATAAATTTGTGTGTGTGTGTGAAATCACCCAGCACACAACCTGATTTATTAGGTGCCTAATATGCACTTCAAACCTCTCAGTGCCATCCTGTTAAGGATCAAGTTTAAACGCTCGACGTGACTTACAATGCCCCTCATGGCCTGGCCCAGCAGACCATTCTCCTACTTCCTTTGGCTTTCCCATCGTCTGACCCTAACTCCACAGCACAGGTGAGGTACCTCTGCTATGGTCCCCCAGCCCCTGTGTTCATGAACTTCTCTGATCCCCGAACTGGGCTGAAAGCTGGGAGGGAGGCACCACTATATCTCTAGCACATAGAACAGGGTCTGGTACACTGCAGGAACTCCGTGCATATTTCCTAAATGCATGAATAAAAAAGGGCATGAAAGCAGTTCACTCCTGGGCAGATGAGGGATTTCCGGGATTTCCTCCCTGAATCCATAATTCATAATATACCCATGCACACACACCTCCCTACCCTCTCCTGACAGATGGAGACACAAAGACATTGGAGTCTCACTCCTAAATTACACGCCACTTATGCTATCCCCTCAGGAATGCCCAAACACCTCTGTCCCCACCAATCCTTATTTCTTCTTCCTTCAGGGCCCAGTTCAATTGCTGCCTGCGCCATGAAGCCTCCCCAACCTCCCTTGCCTTCCTGCCAGGCCCTGGGCCAGACACCGTGGAAACGGAGAGGAACCACTATCACTGCCCTGGGGGAGATGGGGGAACAGTGTGGATAACACACTTATCTCCGTAACTAAACTCTGACGTCCTGAAAAATCTTTCTCACTCATTCATTCAAGAACTCCTTATCGAGCAGCAACTATGTGCCAGGAACTGTGATAGGTGACAGGGATAAAAATATAAAAAACAAATACAGCCCACAGTATAGTTACGGATAAAACCATTATTCAAATTGTCAAACATTATTCAAAATGTTTGACAAACATAAAATTGCAACTAGGACCAGCACGATCTACATACTTTGCCTGGGGAGGAGCACTACAAATAAAAATGTCGGACCCCCTTGTTCAAAAATTGATCATTTCAAGGTTGTGAGAACAGAGCATTACACCAAGCACTGGGCTCTCCTAAGCACGGGACCCTGTGACTACATGGGTCACATGCCCATGAAGTTGATCCTGGTGGGGACAAAGGCGAGGTGTTGCTTGATGTTATGGAAGCTTCTAATAGACGACCTAGCCAATGAGGTTTTTCCTGAGGAAGTAAACTTAGGCAGAACCTGTTCTGAAGGATTAGTGGAAAGGTAGAGGTGAAGAGTGAACGAGAACATTTCAGATAGAGGGGACGTGTGCAAAGGCCCTGAGCACAAGGGAGCATGGAGAATTCAAAAGACATAAAGCTGGAGTGTCTGCAGCACAGAAAGCAAGGAGCCCTGTAGGGGAGGGCGAGACTGGAGAAGGACATAGGGGCCAGAAGAGGGAGGGTCTTGTAGGCTCATAGTACAGAAGACTTTTGTCTTTATCCTAAGACCAATGGGAAACTATTAAAGGGCTTTACACATGGGAATACTATGAATACATAAAACTCTATATATTAGTCAATTGAATGAAGGAATGAAAGGAAAAAAATCACTAATTTGTCTCTGGTTACCTCCTGGTAGACACCATAACTTTGAGGGGGAAGGATGTTGGGGTTCTATCCTTGGAGAAAAACTGGGTAGGCTGACCTCTAAAGTCCTGCCTAGCCCAGATATTTCTGTTTTGCATACCACTTTCTTTCTGTCCTAGAGGAGCCCCTGGAAGTCCCAGTGAGAAACAACACGGAAAGCAAGAAAGAAAAAGTGCCCCGGCCTAGGTGTTATTTGGCCATACCTGAGAAAAGGGGTTTCATACCAACTGTAGTCACTAGGTGTTTGCTCTGGGTTTTGCGTAGCAACAAGAGAGCCTTCTTTGCAATTTTCCCCCCCAATTTGGAGGGAACAAAAGGATGACTAAGAATGACAAAATCAGCATTCCCCCGTCATTGGTCCTGAATTGGTGTGACCTGGCCTCTGCTCACAGGGGACCCTGGGAGCCACACATTCCTTTCCAAGGCTGTCCCTTTCCTTGCTGGATGGTTCTAGTTTTCACCAAGTTCTTTCCTCATAGTTTCTCTACTTTTCACCCTCTTACCCCAGCTCTGCCCACTGGGTCTACAGGGAACAGGTCAGCTCCAGCCACTTGGATCCCTTTTCTGTTTTTCTAAACTGTAAAGTTGATTTCTGCCTCAGGGTCTTACTATTCCCTCCACCTGAAATGTACTTTTGCCCAGATTTTTGCATGGCTGGCTTCCTCTTTCCCATTCACTGATGATCTTAAATGTAACCTCTTCACAGAAGTCTTTCCCAACCACTCAATCTAAATAAGCACATTTTTTTTTGTGACATGTCATATCATTTATCAACATCCAAAATCTTATTTATTATAAATTCCATAAGGGGAGGTATTTTTTTTTAATTGCTATGTCCCAAGCTGACTTATCCATTAGGCATAGTAAGTACGGTGCCTAGGGCCTGTGATACCTTTAGGGGCTTATAAAAATGTTCTAATATTTTTTAAATCAGAAGAAAAAAATCAAACTTGGATATAATCAAACTTGGATTATATTTGTCTTTATACCAATGTTGTTGTTAACTATAGTTTTTAATATGTTTTTAATGGAGGAAGGGCCCAAGACGGGAAAACTGCCTGGGGCCCATGAAAGTCATAATGTGGCCCTGGCTTTATCCCTAGCTCCTAGGATATTGTAGGTGCTCAATGGAAAATTGTTGAATTTACAAATACTTCTGTCTTGTGATGGCCTCTTAGGCTTTAAAGTGACAAATTCCTGGGTTTCCTCTTCTTTGAGCTAGTAATCAGCCTAAACACTCTCTAATTCCTTCATTTTATGGGAGCTGAGAAGAACCTTAACCAAGAGCCAGTCCAAATTTCTCATATTAGGTATGGGAAAACCAAGGCCTGGTCCCTAATTTGCTCTAACATGCACAGAAACTTAAGAGTTAGAGCTGCCCCAAAGTGGAACAAATCAGGGAGCAGTCCCAAGGGGCAGCATAATACCTGGCTATACGTCCCAGCTTTTAAAACAGACAGACCCAGATTGAAATCTCAGCTCTGCCACTTGCTGTGTGACTTTTGGCAACTGCTTTCACCTCTCTGAGCCTGTTTTTAACTCTTTTATAAAATGCAGGTGGCTAGGAAGTTTGATATTGTCAGAAAGGTGTTTAACATGTACCTGGAACATAGGGAGTGCTCACAAAATATTAGTTCTGTACAGAAGATAGACAGTCATTTGTCAGAATGATTTAAGGATAGGGATTGTTAGAGAATGGGGTGGAGGTATTTATTGTATGACTATGATTGATGAAACTGTTGTTTTGGGTTGATGAACATCCTATCCCCCTTTTCTGGTAAGTTTCCTTTGGTGAACAACCCCTCCCCCACTCTCAGTCCCTGTGGTTCAGAGAGGCTAACATCAACCGCCCCTTCCACTAGTGAACACTGAAGCAAGGTCTAGAGGAGAAGTCACATTGATTGGTTTAGGACTGGGGTCATAACCCAGGCTTGGCCAATCAGAGTCAATAGATTCTGGACTGAGACTGAGCTGGGGTTGCCAAGTTAACAAGATAGGATTTGGAGCTGCTGGAAGCCACCTTGCCCTCACAAAGGGCGAACCTGATTGAGAAGGAAGCCAATAGGACCAAAGCTGAGCTGGAAAAGGCAGTTTCATGGCAACACAATTTAACCCCTACCTGAAACCAGCCAAGCCGGATGCCCCTGAATTTTTTGATTAGAGCCTTCAATAAATCCTCTTTGAGGCTTAAGCTAGTTTCAGCTAGGTTTTGTTAATGGCAACTAAGAATCTTTCTTAATGCAAGAACCTCATATCTAGAAAGGGGAAAAAGAGAATGCATTGCTGGTGACCTCTGGGATTCCAGGAGGAATAGGCAGCAGGACAGGCATTCTTCATCTTCTTTCTGGTGCTCCTTGGGAGCACAGTTCCTAAGTAGAGAATCTGAACAAAGTAGACACTTGTTCTGGGGGTTAATAAATGAATGAAGAGATGAACGAACAGAAAGTCATTGGCACAGGTGGGGTGGGGAAGACAGTAAGGGATAAGATGACCTGTTGTTATTTTTTCTTTATCTTAACGTTGGAGGGAGGGAGAAAACTGATCCAACCCTCAGTCTGCTGTGAAAATCTCCTCTTGGACTCCTGACATTTGCTAGGTGCTTGACGGATGAATGAATATGTGAATAAAAGAAAGGAAGGAAGAGCAATTAAGACACTCAGAATGCCAAAGCTGCTGCAAGGGTTTAGGGATGATCTTTGCCAACCACCTCAGACTTCTCTCATCTTGAAAATGGTGGTTATATTCCTTGTGGAGTTGTCGTTAGGATTAAAGCATATCATACCAACGAAAGGCTTGGCAAACAGTCTTACAAAACAAAATGCTCAGTAAACATTACTATTATTATTCAACCAGAGTGGCCGGAGCTATCTGGGACGTGGGTGTGGGGGTGGCGGTTACCTATCACTGGAACTCAGGGAACTGGCTTTGGGACGTTCCGGGGAACACAAATATCTGCTGGAACCCCACATCTGCAAAGAAGGAAAAAGGAAGACATTAGTGACCTCTGGGACTCCAGGAGAACTGGAGAGCATGGCAGGCAGCCTTCATTTTCCCCTTGACGCTCCTTTGAGCACTAGAGATCCCAAAATGGAGTCCCCAAGCCCCTACAAAGAAGGGCCCAGAGACCAAATCAATACCCCAAAACTCTACATTGAATCCCACATTATAAACTTAGGCCTCTAAATCATGATTCAGAGCTTAAACAAAAGAACAAATTCCCAAACTTTGACTTCAGAATTCTAGTCTCAATAGTGAGATGCCAGGTCCTGAAATTGAGACCACCAGGCCTGAAAACTGGGGCATAAGGTCTCTAAGCTGTGATAGTTAAGACACTAAAACTTCCAAAGTAAGGACCTAGAACCCAAAAAGGAGCCCTTCCAAAACTAAAAACCCTAAACTCTGATACTGAGATACTGTAGACCCCTCAACTGTCAACTTCCGATCCCCAAATATGACCCTAATCCTAATATTAAGATAACAGACCACAAATCTTAGTACTTAGAACCCAAGTCCTAAAGAAGTCTAAGCCCTCGAAAGCAAACCTCAGTGACCCCAAATTGACCTCAGAGGCTAAAATAAAAACCTCAAGACCCCCAAACTCTCACTTTGGACCCTCAAGTTGTAACCCCCACCCCAAAAGAGAGACTGACATATAAGTCCCACTCTGAGACCCAGACTTTAAAATTGAAGCCCCATACTCTAAGGACTCTGAGCCCTAAAACTTAATTCTCAAAGTCCCAAACTGTGGCTCTAGACCCTAAATTTCATGCCTTATACTCTACATTGAGATTCTAGGCCCTAACTCTATTCTGAGGCCTCAATCCTTCCAAATGAGACCCCAGACCCTCAAAATGATACACCAGAACTCAAATCTAAGACTTTTAGATCTCAAAATGAGGATCTCCAGATTCCAAAAAGAAAGTTTCCAGTCACAAAACCCAAGACCTTCAGATTCCAAAACTAGTTATATCCAGACACAAATCCTGAGACACCCCCCTCCCTGAATCTACCATGAAACCCCTGATTCCCAACACTATGCCAACAGAGCCTTGCAGTACCTCAAACTTGAGCCGGGATCCCAAAACCTCTAGGCCCAGCCTCAAACCCTAACTCATCTCTACTGCCCCCGCCCTGCCTCACGCACAGCCCTGAGCCCGAGGCACGCCGGCCCCTACCCCCTGAAGCCCCCAGAGGGAGGCCACCTCCACAAAGTTCTGCTCCTAACTGGACCCCATGGTCCCCTCTGACCGTAGTTCTGGTCGGTTCCCCACCCTAACTCCCCTCAGCCTCCTACACCCGCCTTAGGTTGTGCAAAATGGCGCGAAGCCCCCCTTCACGTTTAGTGCCAGCCCCACACTTGGGAGCTGGATAAACTGCGTCTCCTGCCGGTCCTGGAAGGCTAGCGGTGTGTGTGGGCCTTAGGCAGGCCTCGGCCACCACGGTCCCATCCCGGGCGTGGGGTGGGCGCGAATGCCCTGGAGCCAGGATCCTGCCTGAGGCCTGAGGAGAAGAGCAATAGTGCGCTCCTGAGGCCAGGCCACGCCCCCACCAGTTCCCGCCAAGAGTGCTTGGCAGGGGATTGGAAACAGAAAAGAGCCGACAGCTAGCGGCCGTGCGCGCACGCGCTCCTGGTGAAGGGCCCAATCTTCTAGCATAGCGCGAACTCGGCCTCGCGCCTTCTGACACAACCTTTGCTGGAGGGCGCCAAAGTGCCGACCAATCAGCGCTCAACCAGCTGCCCACCTTTCCCACGGACCCCACCTTGGCTGGCCACGCCCCGCATGGCCACGCCCTCTGATGGCTCCGGAGGTCTGGTACCTGCGGATTCTACCCAAGGGCAGGTGGGGTCTTCTCAACTGCCAACTCTCCGGAAGAGAGACCTGGCCTGTCAACCTTCAGGCCCTCGGGTGTCCCATTTCCATCTTTTCCCTTCAGCGCATATCTATCCGGGGCCTACGGTTGCCAAGCACCGTGCTGCAAATTGGGAATTTAGCCGTCATCCTCCTAGTGCAGTCTGGGAGGCTCACAGGCCTTGAGAATCTAGTGAGGCAAGGGCTACATTAAAGGGTGATACACTGAGAAAACATTCAAACAAAAGGACTATTGGAAATGGGCCTTAGTAGCAGTTCCCCTCATGAAGATGAATGTGCCTTGATACAGCAAACTCTCCATTTTAGAAAGTCCACTTTCATGGCCCTTGTGGAGGATGGACTGGAAAACGAGGGAAGAGTAGAGACCCTGGTGTCTGACACATTTCAGTTCCAATCACTTTCTTGCTGTGTTGCCATGGAGAGGAGGCTCAATCTCTTTCTGCCTTATTTATACATTTGAAATAATTCTTACTAGAGTTGTCTGCGGGGTGTCTCGCATGTAATTAGCGTGCAATATTTACTCAACCCTTATTTACACTATTCTTGGTGCATGCACAAGATACACAAAGGTGTCTGTCCCCGTGGAACTTATATTCTAACTACGATGTAGACAAGTTCCTAGTCATGGGCTTTCTTCCCTCCTAAAGCTTAATTTTTCATTTGTAAATTAGGAGATGATGGTAAGAAAACCAGGGGGAAATGGATGGAAAAGTGTTTGAGTAAATACAGGGCACTGTTAATTATTGTGTTGATCAGCTTAAGGACATCGATAAACATGCCTTTTCCCAATTCTCCACCTCTCACAAACCTCTCTTTGCAATTTTCTCAATTCCCTTTCCAAGGTCCTGGGGCCAAAATGGAGGAGGTTGGACTCCGTCTCCCAGCGCGCCTGGCGGGGGCGCTCTCTGCGCCTGCGCTGCCAAGTTCCCATTCCGCCTCCGGAGAATTAGTCATTCTTTTCCTCAGCCCGCCTAGTTTGCTTCCTTCCCCACCTCCAAGGTTGACCGTGCTGCCTTCTGGGAGGTGTAGTCCGTGACCGCACGGACTCCAATTCCCAGCGGGCTTCGGGGCGGAAACCCGGAAGGGGAGGTTGGAGAGGAGCGAGTAGGGGGAAACCCGCGTAGCTGAGAGAGCTTCGGCGCGGGGAGATGGTGAGAACCGCGAGCAGGGGCCGAGGGGCGCTTAAGAGCCGAGGCGGGGGTTCGGAACCGGGTGACGTGAAGGGAGAGGTAGGAGCTAAAAAAGGGGCTGGACGAAGGGAGATCGTTTGGGGGAGGGGGTTAGGAGGAAAGGGAGCCAGAGGGAGTAGTAAAAGAATGGGGGCTGGGGATGGGTCTTGGAGGTGGGGAGGTAGTCGAGCTTTGGGACTGATTGTAAGGGAGCTCAGAGCTTGGGAAGGGAGTCCCGAGTTGGAGAAGGGGCTAGGCGTCCAGGCAGAGGCCCTGATGGGGGCAGTTTTAAGGGAGTTAACCTGGGGGATATGGCAAGACATAGGTGGTTAGGGCTAGATGAATGACGGGGTCTGGAGGTTTGGAGGGAGAGGCCAGCAGTGGATGTGGTGGCTTGGGGCCTCTGGGTCGGATTGGGAACTGGAGAGCAAGTTGAGATAGTGGAAGAGAGAAATCAATGGTAGAGTGTTGTGTGGGTTATGCTCCAGGACTGGGGGTGGGATGGGAGCGTGGGATCAGCGGCCTGGATGTCGCGGTAGTTTTCCTAGTCCAGCCAAAGACTCCTAATAAACTGGACAGTCACAGAACTGTAAGAAAATAGGGCCAGACGGGCCATCGAGACACCCTTCTGCATTCTCTTTTCTCCAGTGGGATTTAGGAAAGTGTAGTGGTTTCTGTGTATGGGCTGTCTAGCACTCAGATCTCTTAATCTGCCACTCCTTTGTGACCTGTGCAAGTTTTCCCTCTGTGAAACTCAGTGCCCTTATCTGTATTGTGGGAACAACTTGTCACTGAGAAGAGGGGAGGTGCCATAAGATAGTCACCCTGGCTGGCAGTAAATCCTGTCTTAGAGCTGTTGGTAGGAAGTTCCCCACCTCAGGAATGTGACTGGGTCACAGGTGCTAATGGATTCCCTCCTTTTCAGTTCAGCCCCAGAGGCGTTTTCTCAAAACCTGACACTGAGCTGGGCGCACCCCAGGTCAGAGCCCTGCAGGGCCCCCCCACAGTCTGTTGTTTAAGAAGTGCCTGGCCCTGTTCTTCGCTGTTCCTGCGCATTAACCCATTTAACTCTGACGGTACTCCTAAGGTCTAGGAGCTGCTGCTATTTCCCTTCTACCGAAAGGAAGCAGGGGCACAGAGAAGTTAAGCAACTTTCCCAAGATCATCCAGCATTAAATGGCAGAATCAGGATTCCAGCCTGGACATCCTGGCTCAGAATCTGGCTTTTCCCGCTGTAACTTAGTCCTCTCTCCTTGTACTAAAGTACAGTGTCATGAGTAGAGTTAGGAGCGGGACAGAGATTCGAGAACTGAAGCAGTCTTCAGTGTGAGGTTTAGTTCTGCCATTTACTTGCTGCGTGACTTTGGGCAAGTTTTTTGGCCTTTTCTCAACTATGGAATGAGAGCAGTAACCCTAGGAAGGTTATAACAAAGGTTCACAGGGGTAAGCATGTAAAGTGCTTGGAGTAAGTGCTCTGTGCATGAGGGAATTTTTTTTTTTTTAAACATGAATGGGAAACATACCTGAGAGAGAAGGCAGTAGAGAGGTACCAGTGAGCAAGGCATCATCCAGGCTGCCTCCTTTCCTTTCTCTCCCAGGTCTCTGCCCGCATCCTGTTCCCCCCCTAAACCATATCCTGACTCTTCTAGTTCCCCATCCTCTACCCCTGGGCTCCCAAGGTGACTCCCCAAAGGGGGTGCTCAGAAACTCAATCTGTCCTCATTCCCATCTCTATCCCCAGCCAAATGTAAATAATTCACTTGCCAATGCCCAGCCTGGCCCAACTCCAGGTTTTTCAGCGAATTAGATATATTTCTACAACTGTGTTTTCTTTTTTTTTTTTTCAACCACCCCCTCTCACTCAACCTCTTGGTCATTAGGGCCTCACTGGGCAATTCCGCAACTTTGTAATGCATCTTGAAACAGTTT